ATTCAATTACATGAATTTTTAAAAATTCACTATTAGTATGACATGAATTTTTAAATATCCCCTATTAGTATAACAGGATCTAGCTAAGAGTTACAGTTGACTGTATGAATCCAAACACAGGAATCTTTGTAATGTGACAATCTTATGGAATAAAACAGCTTTTCAAATAATTTTTCAAGTCTTTTATATTTTAAGAAAATATATAAACTACTATTGAATTTTATTCATCTCACACCACTGAAATCAATTAGCATTGAAACAACTCCCATTAAGATCGTATCATAAAGGCAATGTAGAGATGAGAAACATAAACACAAGCCTGTGAACTTTTTTTCAGAGAATAGCAAAATAACAGTGATATGAGATAAATAAAATTTCTTATGATGTAAGTAGAGAAAAATAAGTTCTTTATTTAATAAGAATACTGCCATTTACACAATGAGGTTCAGTGACGTAAAACACATTCCCTTTTATCACCTTACTGGGAACCACGTGGTGAACTTGGTGTGGGAACACTGAAATTGAAGCCCAGGAAATTCACATAAGGACAAAGCCAATATTGTTTGTCACTGGAATTTAGGATAATTACAGAATTCCTTCAACCCCGCTTATTTTTTAAAGAAACAAATAATTTAAGTAAAACACTGAAAAACAATGTCAACTGATAATAGGCTTAAATTTCAGGGGAAAAATACTGAGTGATGGGAAGTCAGGAAAGCTAAGAGCCTGTGTCATTTTACCAGACATGGTTTCCTGTCTCAGGAATCCTGCTCAATAATATCATTGCTTAGGTATGTGTCCTTAACCATAAGATGGATTTTAAAAAACAACAAAACCCCCACAAAAAGCCTACATTTTCCCAATGTAATTGTACTACTGAAATAAAATCTAGTAGCATGTGTAAATGCAGTCATTCTTCTTACAAAGGTGGACTTTAGGGTCATTTTCTTAATGTTATTCAATGCGATCTTCTTTTATGGGAAGGAAGAATGTACTGGCCATTCACTCACAGTGTGTTTTTACTGTCATTATGAATCCATTAGATATATTCAAGTGAGCTAAGTAACAGCCTTGGGACCAAAAATTCTCCTCTTGCTTTTAGTATAATATTTAGTAGAATATAAATTGTTCCATATTTATTATTTTTCCTATGGAAAAAATTCTCATAAAGTATAAAAGTCCTCTGCTTTGCCCTTGGGTATCAATAGAAATGTTGGACATGATGATGAGTTTCTATTAGTAAGTTGTTTCATTTGTTAAAATAACCAGTACAGCTCTGTTGGTATATATTCCTCATTTAACAACAGAGTTCTGTCTTTGCATCTAGGTTGTTAGATAAATTGGTTGCTAAATGAGGAATTGTTTATAGTACGTATACTACAATATTCAGAACAAAGAAATGGTCAAAGGAAACTCCAACTTGATGACTTCACTTTTATTTGCATAACTCTTACATGCAGTACTGTAATGTGTAACAGAACATAAAACCACAGAACTGTCTGTACAGTACAAACTTCAAAAATTACACTACTGTGTAAATAAGGTATACTGTACAAAAATATATTGATGCTTTATAAACAAGATGTACAGAATTGTACAAAAAAAGATCAGTCATAAATCAGAGCACTGGGTCATTAGTCCAAACAGCACACCTTGATCTTAAGTCCAAGTAGTCTCTAAGCAGGTAGGTCATCACATGAAAAAAAAAAAAAATATATATATATATATATACACACACATATATATACACATATACATATATGGTTATTGAAACCGGATTATTCTACTCAAATGTAAAGTTAGAAGAGGTGCAAAGGGATCTAACACTTAAGAAGAGTATGCCATTACCATTTTCTTCAGAAGCTTTATTTTTCTTCTACAAAATGTTACACAACATACACAGTGTCCTTCTCTCCCTGTTATCCTCAAATGACAGACAGGAGTTGGTGTATGGTTTATAGCTCCCTGAAACCTTGAGGAGGGTAACTCATGAGTATGTCTTACACTGGCTATCAGTGTCTATCCAGGAGACAGAAGCTTGAATCACTCATAATAGCAGCTAACTTTATTGATTCCTCTGTCTTTTTCCACCCTACTAATAAGTCTTTTACCACCAAAATGAATTTCTTTCAGTGAAATCCTTGTTTCTTGAGTAGCTTCTGTTTCTGGAAGTACCTAAACTAAGATCTATGTCAACATACTACTTTTAACTTAGTAACTCTGGAATATTTGTAATTTCAACTTAATCTTTAGGCTCAAGTTACAAATAATATTTCTTATACAAACTTTTTATCATGGCTTGATATGTTATACAAAGAGTTATGATGACATATACACATAAGAGATGAGCTGAATATGAAGGCGTGAAAAGTAGCTCTATGTTTACATGAAATTTACACTAACTGAATTAAAATACTGAATTTTCCACCATTTAATAGTCAAACTATTTTAATCATTGTGATGCTATCTGTCCAAAGTTTTAAAAGGAGTCGCCAATATACTAGGAAGTGTTTCTGCCTGGTATTTATTGAAACTATGCCAACAGCAGTTCATCAATCTTTTAATTTTCACGCAGTTATTCACAAATAGGAGAGGCACAGTCAAAGTATTTTCCTTAATTTTTTAACATTAAAAAAGAGAGTTTTTTGGAGAGAGTCTAATGGTTACCAAATGCATCCACCATCCAGGAAAATGACTCCTCTCATGGCTCAATCAGAGGCTCATCTAAAATTCAGCAGAAATCTAAGACTACAAGCTGTCATCCCTACTTCTGTTTCCATGGAAATAGGCTTCAGATCAAGGGGAAAAAAGGGATGGGGTTAGTAGCTTTCAAATAATCATTCAAAATCATGATTAGGTTTTTAGAGCTTCCTTTTTAGGTGATTATTTTGTAGCCTCTTAACCCCCTTTTGCCAGTCTGTTTCCATGGAAATATGACAAAAATGGCTGTCCAGGCCTCCAGGAGAGATTATTAGCATTCTTGTGAATTTCAGCTTTGGCTGCAGCCTAGGCTGAAGAAGATCATTTTATTTATCAGTTTTATATATTAACCTACCGTGTTTTTACTTACTGTAATTTTTCTTTATAATTTCTACTTTCTTTAAAAATTATCTTCTCAAATTTATAGCTATTATCAAGTAAAGTCGAATAATTGAGAAATCACTGCAAAAGACTTCAGTTTTAAATTGAAGTACATGATCCAAGACATGTAACTGGAAGAGGTGTCAACACCTTTAGAGAACCACTGAAGAAAATATTAAATTCTTACTGAACACAATACTTATTCGATAGGTGTTGGCAGATGAGCAACAAGGATGATATTAAATGTTTTGTAACTATTAATCCACAGAATTAACCGTTCAGAGCAGCTAGTTTGTATCTGCTGATTATCAGGTCTATTATGCAACCATCCATGAAAAAGTTAAGCTAAAAATTCCCTTACATAAGGTACTTAGTATTAAACTCAAATAAATTATTCAAGGTAAGACACTAAGCTACAAAACAGCTTTAAAGAAAATCTGGGTAGAATATATAGGAATCCATCTAAAAATAATCAAAGTGCATATGGTTGTATCATCTTCCATATAAAGGTCATTGAAAAATCAAAATCATTCTTAAAACTGAGGACATTATGTTAAAAAAATAGAGAAAGAATATATACGGCCCTTCCCTAGAATCCCTGGCAAGATATCTTGTTTTGAATATGAAAAAGTAACAGCATGCTACATATATAATTTTATTCCGTTCTGCTCTCTGATTTGCTGAACAGCTCAATCTATAGTTTTTGCTCCAGGAAATCTTAAATTTCTGATTGACATTATAAAATACTTTCATTCTGTAGAACTCCCTTATTATTCTATAGTTGGGAGCTTTTTGCTTATAGATTTGTCTTCTGAACATGAAATTGACAAAAAGCAAATTTTAATTGGCAATTATCAGATTAAGATTCTAAGCTTAAATTTAGCCAAGATTAATTTACTATTGAAACTAATCTCATTTTCAAATTGATCATAACCATAACAAAGTAAAGCAGCTCAATTAATTCTTCAAATCATAATCACTACTCCCAAAACATAATTTGCCATACTAGTTAAACACACAGTTTTTGAAAGCAGTGGCTGGCTCTCAAACCAAATCTAGTATGAGTCTTGTTGGTGCAAATAGAGCCTTACTGGAACACAGGCATGCCCATTACATTTTGGCTTGTTTGCTTATTTTTTTTGCTTTGTCTTAATTACCTATGGATGCTTTTCCACCAAAAAGGTCAGAGCTGAGCTGCTACAGAGAAGACATGGTTTGCGATTCCTGACCCTTAAGAAAATACTTACTGACCCTGCCAGGTCCAGGCGCCTGCTCTAAGGCTAATCCTACCATCTCCTAAACTTGTGACCTTGAGTTAACCCGGGCTATTGTGCTATCAGGATTAGATGAATAAATATTTGTAAATTATTTCAAATAATTACTGCTTCAAAAATATTATTTATTACCTAGACCTTAGCACTTTTTAAGCACTTTGTAAATATTACCATTATCAGTATCACATAGACATTTCTATCTAATTCAGTATAACTAATTTTAAGAAATCCTTTCATGACACCTGATTGTTCAATGTAAGTAGTGATTGATGGTTGTTAAATACATTTTTCAATTCAAATTATGGATTACTTTCACTTAAATTATGTTTGGCTTTGTTTACCATAAAAACATGAGAACATTACATGCTTGATTCACAGAAGATAATTCACTTTGAGGATGTGAAATATCTTCAAATTTCAAACATAAATTCTAGTTCAGCACCTAGGTAGGTAGTTGTGAAGCAGAAGTTATCTACAAGTTATAATATAATGTAGACTTAGAAATTTCATTTAAATACATAACTTCCAGAGAAGAAACTTTGTAACATTTACGCTTTCATTTTTTTGACTCTCAAAATAGGCTGTATATTTGAGTAATGTAAAATGGATAAAAACATCAGTGTGTGGCTGCGTATAGGTACTCACATCCATGAACTCCACATTGGCCTTGGGACCAGTTGTCTCATTGAGAATCTTAATAGCTACAGGAATCTTCACTGTTTCTCCTTCAGGAACCCAAATACCCTTTAGGGAAAACAAATCACATTAAATCTACATTAAGACATATATAACATTTATAACAGAAATAAAATTTGACTTAACCTCTCAGCCTACTAATTACTTTAAAATTCTATATTCTTTCATTCAATCAATGTTTAGTACATGTTATGTGTCACAAGTTATTCTACATATTTATTGTCTAATTGCATTATGTGATGATGACATAGATATCTGCTTTCAAAGTGTTTGTTATGGATTTCAACTTGTATGCATGAGAAAAAAATGGATAGTAAAGAAAGCATAGAAATGGAATAGAAAAACAGTATCATTTAGATGATCTTGCAAGCTTCGCAAGCCTTTGAGAAGGCTATTACACTTAAAATTCTGATTGTCTCAACTATAATTTAAAGAATGGGCTAAGTCATGTTGGAGACTCTTCAGCTTTAATATTATCTATCTTCAAACTAAAGCAGAGTTGTATGTTCTTAAAGTTCAGACTGACTTAAGAAATATTTTTCAAAGGTGAATATTTTAGAGTTAGTTTTCAAAGGCACATACTAGGGATATTGAACACATTAATTTGCATATATTATTAAATTCTGCGTGCATGTGAAAGTTTTTATTACCTCTGAAGTCAACATAAAATATTTATATTGACCATTGTTAATTATTTCCATTAACATATAGAACATAACAACTTCACAGCATCTACGCACTGGAAGAGGATATAGTTAATAACAATAAAGTTGATAATATTTGAGTAATGTAAAACATTAAGCTAAACATTAGCATTTGTGAGTAAATGGAACTGAAACACTTAAATGAGGTTAATAATTTTGATAAGATATACAAGGATGCATGGAAGAATATAGTTTAGAACGCATATTGGCCAAATGAACAGAGAAGCAAATATGAAGTCACAAGGGGAAAAGGATTTCAGATTTTAACTTATTTTATATATATATATATATATATATATATATATATATATATATATATTTTTTTTGGTACCGGGGATCAATTTCAGGACCTCGTGCTTGCCAGGCAGGCACTGTGCCACTGAGCTACATCCCTGGCCCCAGATTTTAACTTATTAATCCTGACATCAACAAAGACTTCTTAAGACAGTATTAACAATAAAATGAAAGAAAGACAAAAATAGTCTGTTGTTCCTGAACAGATCATCTATACTTCATGTTTTCTTAATATCAGCTCCTTGTGGTCATTTAAAATCAAAAGATTTTAAGTTTTTCACTTTGATCAATCATAGTAAAATGTAATATATTTGTGTTAAGTAAAATTGTAGCAGTCTGAGAAGAGAAGCACAATGCTTCTAAATCCTAATGTTACTGGATCCAGGTTTTTAGTGTTTTGAACAAAGAACCAAGCAGGACACCCAGAGAGGCAGCCAAGTCAAAGAGCTCTCCATAAGGGAGAGCCAGCCAGTGACGAGAGCTCACCACTTGGAGGAGTTTTGGTGTTGAAGGTTTTAAGAATTAGAGTTTGAGGCAGGATTGAAGGGTTGGTCTGAGGTTTTGCTCTTGCCAATAAATGATTTGGCTCTGGTCCTTGGTGAGGAAGTGGAGTTTTTGACCCCTTATGGCCACTGGAGGAACTAACCATAGGGATGTATGTCAAAACTGCATAGTCGATGACATGGTTATTAGTTAGGGCCCAGTCACCCTGGAGGCTTACTATATATAACTTGAGTTACCTGGTTTCTTTCTCCCCGTGTATTGAGACCCGATTATCCTGGGTTAATGTTTAACTCAGAATGTGGCTCTAGATGAGAAACTGAGCTCCAAGGAGGGCCCTTTCTTTTCTCTCTTAACAATTTTTAGCTACCTCCTGTCTTGACTAATAAAGGAAAAGTATATTAACTTTTAGAAGGTAAATTTAAGGTTACATTTTTTGGGGTTTTTTTGGTTTTTTGGTACTGGGGATTGAACTCGGGTCCTTGCGCTTGCAAGGCAGGTGGTGGAACCACTGAGCTAAATCCCCAGCCCCTGAGGTTACATTTTTTGTGCAGAATCAATGGGCAAATGTATATGTCAAGTGCAAAGTAATATTCTGAGCTCTTTGTGCTATAAAATTTTTAAAAAATTAAAACAGAAATAGGTAAAAAATATATGAGCTCAATATCAATAGGTTTACATTTTCTCACTGATGGCATCCAGGGTGGAGAATACACTTACTATTATTCAATAAAATAACTACAGACAGAATCACTTCATAAAGATGTCACATCAACATTAAAATATTCCTAAAGTACACTTTTAAAATAAAAATATGATTTCAGTGAGAATTAATTTATCTTGCTTTGGAAAAAAATTTAGACATTATTTTCCAGATCTGACCAGATGAAAACTCAACTATGCTCTTACCCATCATATTGGTTCTAATAATATATGCTTAAACACAGCATATCTCCATTTGGGAGGAAAAATTAACAAATAATTTACCAACCAGTTTATGTTTCTGTGGTTAACAATAATCCTTTATATACTTCAATACAGTATATCTTATAATACAGTATATATCTTATAATACAGTATATCTTATGCTTTATTGATAAAAACTGAAGACTAATTATACACATTCCAGGCATAAAGTTCAAACAAACTTGTAGAACTTCCCAAAAGCTTTCTTACATGTAATTTTAATTAAAATAAAATAATCATTAAAAGTAAATCATTGTTTTTAGTAGAAATATCATTAAAATTATATTTTTAAATGCTAGCATTTCCCCTGCTGATGTCATTCAATAGTATTTAGTCTTGAATTATAGAGTCTCCATGGTTTAAAATGAAATTTAGTTTCCAGATCATATTATCTTTAAAAAACTATAAAGGTGATTATAATTTAGAAATAATCGAAGAGTGAGTTATTTTAAAAATGAAAGTTTGTTATAATACATTTAAAAATACATTTAAAAATGAAAGTTTGTTATAATAAATTTAAAGCTGGCTGTTTATCTTTGTCTCTCTTCTCCATAATCACATACATTTGTCTTACACTAAATTTTATTAATGTGTCATAAGAGAAGGAAACTCTAATACCTTTCTTTCTACTGACTTGTCCGATGGCTTAGAGCAAAAAACCCCAGTTATATCTCCTTATCCTTTGTACTAGTCTTTTTGGCCTCCTCTCCAGACTGTATTTATCCCAGCATATTCAAAATAAATTTCCAGAACTATAGTAAAGGATGTTATAAAAAGTATTAACCCAGTAGACTTTTGTATTCTTGCTATTGACCATCAAAATAAATGTCACCATAATTAACCTTGGGCCTGGCCTCTGGATTGGTTTTATAATTAAGCTAAATATGTAAACAGGCAAATGTCATCATTTGAGCTTTCCCTTTCAGAAAATACCTCCTACTGAAAATTCATAATGTTATCCTTTCCTCAAGCAGGCCTGAATTTCTCATATAAAGTTAATTTTTAGTTTGCACATAATGGGCAGCACATCAAAATGATGAGCATTAACTAATAAATTATATGTGTAAAAAGCCAGCCAAAATGGCTTAAAATGCATTTCTAGTCTATTAACAGATCAGCATGTTCAAATGAGTTCTAAAGGGATCAGATGGTAGAGTTCTGATAAGTATGCTTGTAGGTAAAAGAGGAAAGAAAGAAGAGGAAGAAAGTGTAGTATTTTGCCTGGACATGACTGAGATTTCATGGAGCACTGTGTAGCAGGAAGGGGAAATGGGCTGTTCCGGGTATTTTTGAGAGAAATGAAAATCTGTCAAAGGGAGGACACATTTTTTTTTTTTTTTTTTTTTTTTGGTACTGGGGATTGAACTCGGCGCCTTGCACTTGTGAGGCAGATGGCAGAACCACTGAGCTAAATCCCTGGCCCTAGAGGACATTTTTGAAAGGGATCCAAAGGACACTGAGAGAACAAACTATATTTGGCTTTGTACCAGCATTTCCTGCCTTCTCTCAAGACTGTATTTATCCCAGCTTGTTCAATAAAAATTAATGAATTCATTTGTGCAGCAACTAATATAAAAGTCCTCCTCTCTGAATATTAAAAGGAAATTAAGTTGGCTAAAGTAATTACTTTGTCTATTATTTTTTTTGAAAAGTCTGAAACAAAAGTTAAATAACTGATGGTTTTGTTTGTGTGTGTGTGTGTTACTTACTTTATAAACAGTTCCAAAAGCACCTGAGCCAAGGACTTTTATCCTCTTTAGTTCAGTTTCTTTCAAAATACGAAGTTGAGCTTGATTGGGTGCTGTGCCACTAGGAGTTAAGGGTTCTACCAACTGTAAAACAAGGAGGTAAGATATATAACTATCTACCCAATAATCAGTCTCTCTCTCTCCCTCTCTCTCTCTCTCTTTCTCTTATTCTCATACATGCAAAAACACACACTATTGTTTTCTTTGACCAGAAATTTTTGAATATGACCCACTCATGATCATAGACACACATTTAGGCACTCCTTCAGACACTATCTTTTCTATTTTCCAACTTTTTGATTGGGTGTGTTCAAATAACAAATATACCCTACTTTGAGATATGCTAGGCTAGGAGATAATGATTCATCATAAAAAAAATACTACCTTCTTAGTACAAGAAGAGGGAAAAGAAGTTGGCCAGTGCCAATACCTCAGGACAGAATTTCTAACACTTATGTGACCTTATGAATTGCCTGTGTTTCTTGTCAAAATACAGATACTGGTTGGGGTATACCTGAAATTTTGCATTTTTACAGAACTCTAGGTGATACTTTGGTATGATAATGGTCTTTGAACAATAATGGTCTTTTACTTTTTAAGTAGCAAGGCCCTAAGTGTATTTTCTAGATCAAAATTTTTATGATGTGATTCTAGATCATAAGTGAGTGCTAGGGGATGCAAAGGAATAAAATAACTCTGGAGGTTATTGAGATTCAGTAGAGTACATATAGACATTAGTACTATTCATGGTTTCAGGCATGCATTGGAGGTCTTGAAACATATCATCCATGGATAAGGAGAATGACTGTGCATCAGAAAGATGATACCAAACAGCTTACATCCTTTGTTGAAATTTTAGGTTCAATTTCATGCTTAAGGAAAAAAGCAAATGAGAGAAGTAGGAGTGTGTTTTTTTTTTAAATTAAAAAGAAACTAAGCATTAAACAAAAACAAATAGCGTATTTTTTCTCTCCATAAGGAAATAATTAAAGGCTACTCCTAGGCAAGTTGTCTTTAAACTACTATACTATTTCAAAATTTGTGTTTACAGGCCCTATGGGCATCATGGCCTATTTAAAGAGTGGAAAAGAGTTTTAAATTTAGGTACATGTAGCAATAGCAGAATCTCAAGCAGAATATGGTAAAATTTATCAAAACTGAAGCTATTTTCTAATAGTTTGACAACTAATCAGGTTTTATCTCATTTTGAAATTTATAATGCAAAGTTGTAAGTTTGGTAATTTATCAATGCAGTCAAGTCCCATAAAAATAACTAAATTATTTGTTAAATCAGAGAAAGAATTTCCAGCAGACATTTCTCTTCTTCTGCAGGCAACTGTTCTCTACAGTAGTGTTTGATAGATTTTTATACACACACTGTGCAAGATAAGAAATTTTATAAATGATTTTTAAAAATTATATTTTAAATTTATATAAAATCACATGCAAAATTGGGAGGGATTTGGCACACTGGGCCAGATACTTGGAGTATTTATTAGCTATATATTCCTTGGCACAGACTGTGTAATAATTTCATATTTTGAAAACTGCACAGTGCTTCCTGAGATGTTGAATCTCCTATTGTTACTTTAGGTATTATTTTACATTTTCTACAACACATGTTTTCCAGGAATCTGAAAGCTATAACTTTAGGAGAAGCTTAATTCCACTTTCCAAACCAGTAGTATGAGAGTAGAAAGAGGCTGAGTTGAAGGTTGGAGGAGTGTATGCTGCTGATTCAAATGCACAGGGTTAGAAAGCAATTCATCCCTCTTGATGCACTCATTTCCCATCTGAGAAATAGGTGCAGCAATAACCACATTAGAGGGTCATGAAAGGGTAAAATGAGACTTACATAGGTAGAAATTCTGGAACATTATCAGGCACATTATAGGAACTCAATCTGTCACTCTTCAAGGGATATGATCGTATCCTCTTAAAGTATTTTTTAATCAAGGTATTTACTGATACATACTGCTTGTATCTCAATATATGGGTTTTGAAAAAGTATCTTTACTACTTTTATGCAAATAGAAGAAATGTATTGTGAAGCAAAATGATTCTGGGAAAATATTTCAATTTTCAATGAACTCCAACAATATATCAGGCTTTCAAAAATTTTTCATCTCTGTGGGCTGGGGATTTAGCTCAGTGGTTCTGCCGCCTGCCTCGCAAGCACAAGGAACCGAGATCAATCCCCGGTACCAAAAAAAAAAAATTTCTTCTCTAATGCAGATTTTTAGCTCTAGTATTTATGGATTTAAATAGTTTCTCTTAAGAATTTCTAGTGTTGGCTGAGCAAAATAGTGCATGCTTGTAATCCCAGCACTTGCGGGCTGAAGCAGGAGGATCACTGCAAGATTGAAGCTAACCTGAGACACATAGTGAATTCAAGGCCAGCCTCAACTATACAGGGAAACCCTGTCTCAAAAAATAAACAAACAAATAAAGAAATTCCTAGTCTATTTAAATGGTGGTTGAAAATTCTAATTATTGGACTTTTACTAGGAGAAAGAGGGGAAAGTCTACAGTTATCTATCCTGAAAAGATAGAACAATTTAGTGCTAAACAGTAATGTTCTATAAAAAATAAAATTCTCCTATAAAACCAATTGATATGCTTATTTAGCAATAAAATGACAATTTCATAGAAGGTACAGAATCAAAAGAAAGAAAATGAAGCAGCATAACTCTTTTCATAGTAAAAATTACTTCCCTGCACACCTAAATGTCCACTGGTATTCCCAGCCTTATGTTCTCCTCCATCTGTAGTTTCCCACCTTTCCAAATTCTCTCACTAATTGCTCTAAACTGGCCCGGAGGGAGAATATTATCTGCCTCTAGTACAATTTACCTCCTAGGTAAACTGAAATACACTCACAACACATGTGTAGTACCCTCACTTTCATTCACATGTGATATTTTGAAAGCAATCAAGTTGGTCATTTGTAAATATCCATTTAACATACATGTTGCTATTGTGCCTTCTCCTCCATGGATTTTATTCCCATTATTTTGCTTGAACAAGTGTGTTTATTAGACACAATATTCAAATTTCAGAGAATTCCATCCTTAAAGCGCATTTTCCTATATGTAGCTGTAAACTAGTTTTCTGAAGCTTCCCCATGATTATTCTACACAGTTTCAAATTCTGAAGAAAAGGAATTAAAATCTATTTCATTATCAATGTGTAAAACTTTTGAAAGAATGAACATTCCCATTCCTGTTAGTGGTAAGAGGAAAATCCAGGTTACTGGAACACTGATGAGAGAAAATGAAACCTAGGTAGTCTAACTTCCAGAACAGAATTGCTCTGAATTGTTCAGGCTGGCACAGATGTGAGTATCAGGGGAAAGAAGTAGGGTGGGAGTTGAGAAGGGTCTGGTATTGTAAAGTCTTCTGTAATTGTGTTTCTTCTGTTTCCTGTACAATGAAAATTAACAGCTTGCACACTCAGTGTGGCAATGTAAAAAGAATTATAATAATTTATGGGTAATTTACATATTCACAATAACCACCATGCATAATATTAAATACTTCTCATAAATCGTGTTGTTAATTCTGTGTGATTACAACACTAAGCTTTATTCTGTAAGCTCAGTCTTTCATGGCTGGCATAATGGGATCATTGGCTACTGATTTAATGATGCTAATTACAGCACACATTTCTTCCCTATCTGGTTATATTTTGAACCAGAAAAAAAATTTTTTTTTTTTTGGTACCAGGGATTGAACTCAGGACCTTGCACTTGCAAGTCAGGTGGCAGCACCACTGAGCTAAATCCCTGGCCCTGAACTAGAAAACTTTTATTTCATTCTTATGCATTTCTACTTTTACCAATGAGATAACCTCTACCCAGACATTTTCTAGTTCAGTCTCTATTGAGATATCCTGTAAACAGAGTTTTCTAACAGAAGCTTCCACTGGGAAAAAAATCCAGATCTTTTTCCAAATACAGTAATTCCCTCTCTACTCTCTCTAAACAATAAATGTACTTTGACTACTTTTACTATATACTCTGCTTTTTCAGCAGTTTTGTATAAAATACAAAAAAAAAACTCCACTAAACTCTCAGCAAGAAATTGAGCAGAATTTTCACATAAATTAAAAAAACTGAGCATCAACTAAATCTCGAACCTAATGAAAAATCACTAAATAAGTGGGTTTAAAAAAAGGCAATGAACAACTCACCTCTGTTTCTAGAAATCTTCTTAAGGCTCTTTTCTTTTTGATGCTCTTCCTCCTAACATAAACTGCAAATGTCAGACCCACTATGACCAGGATGAAGAGCCCACCAATGACTCCAGCAGCAATCAGGGGAGTTCTGCCAACCAAAATGAAAAAAAATGTATGAAGAGAGAAAAGACAATAGAAGGAAAAGACCAGCTGTACAAGACATTATGGGCATTTCATAAATTTAGTCATTTACAGGAAGTGTAGATAAAAGTGCAGTAAGGCTGTAACAAAACCTTCCCCATGGCAGAGGAAGAAACTGCAGCTTTCTTATATTGTTTTTAACTAATATACCATGTATATACAACTAGTCTTAGGATGAGCAGCCACAACATGCCATTTGATGAAAAACTGTAAACTTTGGCAACAGAACTAAAAACATACTAAAAACACTGTTACATGAACATTTTAAATTATTTGTATCTACTATACATACATAAAAGAAAATTCATTTTAATAAGATATCTGGGGCGTATAATTTTATTTCAGTATTTTCTCAAAACCAGACTGTCTCAACAGTGGCACTATTGACACTCTGGGCTGGATGTTAGTTTGTTGTGGGACTCTCCCATGCACGTTAGGATGTTTAGCAACATCCCTCACATCCCTCAGCTTCTACCCACTGGATACCAGTGTGTGTCCATCCTCCACTCATGACAATTGCCAAACATCTGTTGATATCACCCTAGGTGAGAATCACTGTTCTAAACAGAAGTGAGTAATTTAGAAACATGTGAGTCTCCACATCTCTGGGAAATGAAGGTACCAATAAGAGTTGTTACTGTCAAAAGCACTATTTGAAACTCTGATAAGGACAAGAATGGTAGAATAATGGGCAAAAGAAAGGGAACTGGGTTAGACATTTTAAGAGTGATGGTAACAGGAGTATGTATTTAATTGAGAAGTATGTGTAGGCATCACAAATATATGTGATATACTTCTAAATATTACATGAAAAGATATAAAATATTCCAAGGTGAGTTAGGAAGAGATTAGAAATTTTATTTAAATGTTTTTCTAATTATTTTAAGCAAAGATATAGTTTTAAAGTGATCACTTTTTACTAAGATAAATTTTCTTTGCATGAGGAGTAATATTTGCAGTTTTTAACTTCTTATTCTCAAGTAAGTCAGTACTATGAACTTACAGTGGTCAGTTTCCTGAAAAAGATTAACTTCACATGTCATAGCAAATAACCTGAAGCAAAACACATGGATGTTACCTAATAAATATTTGACTACAAAGTCATGCTTGATATCATCACAAAAAAGAATTCCCTGCATGCCCATACTGTCCATAATAAAGCATTTTATAACATATATTCCTATTTTTAGAAGAACCTATTGTATACAGCTACATTATCTTAGAAAAAAATTACTTGCTCTTGCAAAATAAACTTTTGTGCAAAGATCGATCAGAAATAATGATAAGGGAAACTAAATAAAACCTTGAAATTCTAAAGAGCTCTTAAAAAAATCTGTGTAACTACTTCTAAAATGAAGTCAAGTCTTTTAAAGATCATGACTGCAATATTGTCATACAAAACTGTACAAAAATCTACAAAAGTAGTTCATCCTAAAGGTGGTTTCCTGACAGCTCAAACGACAATAGCATACTGAAATGTCTCTATAATTCAACTAGATTTTCCTAAATATGATTTTCTAAAGATATAAAAATCTATGCTGAGAAAATTAAACTGTAGCATAGACACAAACTCATCATTGTAATGTGTTTTCGTGTAACAGAGTTTTGTATATGCCAGTTAAATACGTATTTCAGAAAATATTTTATATTTTCAACCAAAGGCATCATTTTCAACTCAAGTACCTAATATACCCTGAAAAGTCACTACTACAGAAAGGGTTGTATTTTTGTTTCTTAAGCTCAATTTTTGTATTGCAAAAAGTTTTCCATATAATTGAGAAGAGTGTCAAACATTTTGTGAATTATAGATTTAGACCAAATTCTAAACCTTTACTACTTCATATTTTGTAAGAGAATTGGTAGTATGAATTTATGAAAATATATGTCCATTTCAACAACACTTTACATTTAAAAAGATGCTGTATCTTGGTTTTGTTTACTAATCATTTTTTAAGGATAGTTTCCAATAGAACAGAATAAGACACTTAATCTTTCAATCCTATTCTGGTGAAGATTGATTATTATGTAATTACTATTTAAGTTGGTAACTATAATCAAAATGAAACATTTAAAAATCAATAAAAATAAGTTTTGGATTTTTTAGTTAAGATTTATTTTCAAAATTTTCTACAACCATTCTTGTGGTTGCTTTGAAGACTTTTTCTTTTCTTACCACTCTACAAGAATGGTAGAGATACAAACAACCTGAAGAAATGAAGAATTACAACTTTTACAGTTTCTGCACCTAAAAGTTGTACATAAGTGTTTGCCTGGATATTTTAAGAGGGAAAATTCTTCATATTCTTGCAGAATTTTCTCTTAAAAATAAATAACCACAAAGAAGCAGACAGTAAATCCAAGAAGAGACAACACTCTATAAGACAACTTGCAGTGAATTTCATGCAGTTAATGACATAAAATTTATAAGTGACCATTAAGGATAAAGAAGACTTCATAGGTCTGTGAAATGCAATCCTGGAATGATTCCTGATTTGGACAAACTAGTGATACTCCTATATAGAAAAACATGGTAAGTCTGAATATGCATTAGTATCAGTTAAGATGAATATTTGCTGTCATAGGAAGACATGGACCATAAACTGGCAAGACTGGATTACAAAATAGGGAGATATTAATATGTGAAAAATGTATTCTTATATGTATAGATATGCCTCTAGAAATGTAGATCTAGAATATAAAATATGACACTAAATAGTATTTCTAGGTAGTATAAATATAATGCTTTTCTTTTATTTTTCTACTTTCATTTATGTGTATTTCCTAATTTCTGATATGTTTATATTTCTTTTGAAATAAAAATTAATTAAATTTAAGAAAAATATAGAAAAAATAAATCTTTGCCTGTAAACTCAATTTTTATAACAACTACCTTGTTACCTTTTTGGTTGAATGTTTGTTACAATTTTTTGATTAAGATTTCATTTTGCTATTCCCTGTTGACTACTACAATCTAAGTACTTCTGCATATTTTCTATTCATTACAGTTTAATGCTTGAACATTTTTAATAGCCATTAAGTTTCTTACAATTAAAATTATATTTCAGAAAACCAAGTTAATCTGAGAAGTTAACATTATTTACATACTTCTTATTTCCCTACTCCCCTCAATTTTTTTTTTTTTTGTATTGGGGATCGAACTCAGGTCCTTGTACTTGTGGGGCAGGCCGCAGAACCACTGAGCTAAATCCTTGGCCCTACTCCCCTTAATTTTAATGATTCATTGATATTTGTAGCTATAAGATAGAGACCAACCTCCTCAAGAGTTAATGCTTAACACTTTATGGGGACCGTGGATAAAGAAAATTTAGCCACATAAATTCTTTAAATTGCCATATATCTTTCATAAGCCTATTGTTATTGCCAACCAACCTCAGTCTGCAAGTTTTATTTCTTTTTATGAGTAGAAGAGTCTCCAACAGGCTCAGATAACACCACTGGGATTACAATGGCCAAACACTAAGGGACAAAGAATTACTGTGTAATCCCTTATCCTACAGTTTGTGCCTGGTTGTTGGTTTGTCTCTGGATGTCCATTAACAATGGTTTGTGTTTGCTAAAGTATAAAAGATGGGAGAATTTCAAGTATCCAGTTCAAACTTAAACTAAAAGGAAATTATTAATTGATAACATCATTCTATAATTTGGAAATAGTATAATAAATGTGATCCCTCTCACACTACTCAAGAAACTAATATTACAAGGATTCTGAAACACAATTCAACTTTGATAATTCATTTAAAAGAATATAATTTGATTTCAATAATTTCACTTAGAAGTTCAGAAAAAAATACAATGTATTATATATTCCATTGCTTTAAATGCTATTACTGTATAAACAGCAGTATCTTCCAAAACTATATTACTCATATAAAAAAGATACATTAATATAATTCATTGCTATATTTGAACCATGCTATTCCTCTCACTGGAGAACGTAAAATGTAAGAGGATACATGAAACTGTATTTTTATAAAGATACAAGTATATTCTTTCACTGATTCGTTTCCTCCTAGATTACAGGTCATAAACAATATGTAATAAAGTTAGTACACACTTCATGCCTAAAAAACACATATTTTGTTATACTTTTCCAATTTATGTGTAAATGTGTTAATGGCTAGCTACCTTTTAAAAACAAACAAGGTTACTATTCTTTTTAAATTGGTAAAACTAGTATTTTGACTAATACAGTCATTCCAATGAATGGTAAATCTATAATATTTTTAAAAGTTAAAACAAGTATATCACAAAAAAAGGCTCATTAAATTTTAATGTAGGTGTATTTTTCTTCATTTTTTAATATATAATTCTCCTTTTTAAGATAAACAAAAAAAACCTATAGTCCAATAATACACAGATGGTATAATTTACAATTAATGGTATTATCATTAAAGCAAAGTATTTCACTGTTAGAGCTCATAAGTTAAATTAAATAATTTGTTTATTTGTAGGTGGTAAAGGTTAAGCTGAAGACGTGTATGTAATATGCATATAGGGTAAAAACAAAACACAAACTAAAACAGACATTAGACCCATTTAATGGGATATTTTTCTAACACAGGAAAGTTTGGTATCATTAATGTTGCAAATCTAGAAAATGGTAAAATAGTGTAACATTATTGTTCAGTGGTAATTTTTTAAATTCTGTGTGTACAAAGATGTTTTTGAGTGAGACCAATTTAAGCTTCAATTTGGTGTTTGCCTCTAATTAGATGTGCTTAGTGCTTATATGAAATAATTCAAATTATAGACTCACATTCTTCATCTGAGCTAATAAGAAAATACGCTTGGGAACTACCTAGTCTTTTATTCATTTGTGTGACTAGGATGAATGTAGAGTATGTTAAGTACTATCATTAAATCAAATTCCTTTAAGTGTAAGTGAGCCATATGCTCAGTTTTGGCCAAGAGAGTTCCTGCCACTGT